CACTATTCAGATATTGAAGGATATTCTTTGTGCATGTGTGATGGAGTTTGGGATTTCTTGGGATCAATTCTTGTCACTTGCGGAGTTTGCCTACAACAACAGCCATCAGTCGAGCATTTAGATGGCCCCGTATGAGGCTTTGTATGGTAGACGGTGTCGGTCTCCAGTGGGTTGGTTCGAGATGGGCGAGGCTAGGCTATTAGGTAAATACTTGGTTCAGGATGCTTGGGAGAAGGTTAAATTGATTCAGGATCGACTTTGTACAGCCCAATCGAGGCAGAAGAGTTATGCGAATCAGATTGTTTGCGATGTTGCATTCATGGTTGGGGAGCGAGTTTTGCTCCGAGTTTTGCCCATGAATAGTGTTATGAGGTTCGGAAAGAAGGGCAAGTTGAGCCTTAGCTATATTAGGCCTTTTGAGATTCTTGAGAGGGTTAGATAGGTTGCTTACAGACTTGCACTACCAGCTTTTCTAGCTGGAGTTCATCGAGTATTCCATGTTTCCATGCTCCGGGAGTATCACGGATCCATCTCATGTGTTAGATTTCAGCTCGGTCCAGTTGGACAAGGACTCGTCTTATGTTGAGGAGCCGATGGCCATCTTGGACAGGCAGGTTCAAAAGTTGAGGTCGATGAACATTGCTTCAGTAAAGGTTCAGTGGAGGGGTCAGCAAGTCAACGAGGCGACTTGGGAGACTAAGCATGATATGTCCAGCCGTTACCTTCATCTTTTCACCATTTAAGGTATGGCTCTATACTCGTTGGAGGAGTTATAAAAGGGGGATGCTGTAATGACCCAGCCGGTCATTTTGAGAGTATTATCCTAGTACCCCTATTTAGTGCTCCCCATATCTCATTTTGTAGTTTTGTGGCTTGCTTGGACGTTTAGTTTTCGGTTTCGGAAAGAAATGGGACACATAATCCCTAAAAAGGAAGTTTAAGTCGTAGGAATTGACCATAGTTTTATCTTTGTGAAGACGACTTCGGAATGGAGTTTCGATTGTTCCAATAGCTCCGTATGGTGATTTGGTCTTAAGAGCGTGTTCGGATGTTGATTTGGAGGTCCGCAGGTCATTTCGGCATTAATTGGTGAAAGTTGGTACCGGAATGGACTTTTTGATATCGGAGTCGGATTCCGATTTCGTAGGTCCGTAATGTCAAATGTGACTTGTGTGCAAAATTTCAGGTCGATCGGACGTGATTTGATGGGTTTCAACATCGTTTGTAGAAGTTGAAATTTCCTTAGCTCATTAAGCTTGAATTGGAGTACGAATTGTGTTTTTGATTTTGTTTGATGTGATTCGAGGGCTCAACTAAGTTCGTATCGTGTTTTAGGACTTTTTGGTATGTTAGGTTGCGGTTCCGGTGGCCTCAGGTTGATTTTGGGTGGTTAACGGATCGAATTGGGGTTGTGTTAGATTGCTAAAGCTTGGCAGTGTTTGCTGGAATCTCACCTGAGCACCTTGGGCCGCAAGTACGGTGCTGCAGAAGCAGCCCTTGATCCGAAGAAGCGTGTGTGAATAAGGCCAGCAGGGACCAACATGCGGTCAGTGGAGCGTAGAAGCGCAAGAGCATGTGCGGTTGTCCCTCTGCAGAAGCGCCAGCGCAGGTGCACGTAGGGTGCCGCAGAAGCGAGTTTCTTGGCCCTAAGTGATGGCTCCGCAGATGCGGCTAAGCCCTCGCAGAAATGGTTTAACATGGAAAAAAAGGCTAAATTCGAGGGTTTGATTTCATTATCAATTTTTCGACCTAGAGAGCTCAGATTGAGGAAAAGTTTTGGGGGATTTTTAGAGAAAACATTTGAGTAAGGATTCTTGACTTATTTTTTATTATATTTCCACTAATTTATCATTAGTTTCTTCATTTAATTAAAGTATTTGGGGTGAGAAATTGGGGGGGGGGGGGGATGTGTAAAGTTCTTAGACCGAATTTTGAGGTTTTGGTATCAGATTTGAGTGATTTTGGTATGGGTGGACTCATAGTTGAATGGGTGTTCATATTTTGTGACTTTTACCCGATTCCGAAACCCAAAATTTGACGAGCGAAAAACGCACACTTAAATATGCTCGCTAGTCGAATATAGTAAAATATAATATTGTATCCATAGGGATTGGAGTTAAACAATATTTTCATAATTTCTAGCTAGACTGCTATCCAAGATGATCAACAATTGAAATTTATGTGATTTAAAACTTAAATTTACTAAGAGTCTAAACTATTGACGAAAGACAATCGACACAAGTAATGAGCAAAAAAGGTTATCAGTGGGAGAAAATGGAGTTTTGATAGGATACGCGCAAGACAATTGTTTAAGATCTAACTCTAGATAATTCACTTCTAATGTTCAAGTGAGTCTCTCGAATTCACTCAATTATTAGTTCAAACGTTTAGTAGAAACTCCTCTTTCGATTAAGTCTCAACCTCACAAGATTAACCAATTTAAGCTCGGTGAAAATATGCAATAATTCGGTTTAATCAACAATTCAACTAGCCTCTTTTGATTACTAAGAAGAATTAATGAATTCAACCAACAAAAATAGAATGCAAAGATATCACAAGTTATGCCTCTCTCGATTACATTAACATGTGAATATAGATGCAACAATTAGAACATCCAAAATGATTCAATATATAAAACTAGACTTATAATCCACAAACAAATATCAATACATCAAATTCATCAAACCTTAAAGAAAACTACTCCATAGATATGGAGAAATTCATCACAAATATGCTTAAGTTAAAGGAAAACATAAAATGATCCAAACTCGTGTCTTGGGTGAAGATTGAATGATTAAATCCTTGTGCATTTGCTTCTCCACCTCCTCATTAGCTTCCTTAGGTCTAATATATGTCAAAAGTCCCAAAAATAATATTTTTACATGTATTTATACCAAGTAGGGTCGGGCCCAAACGAAAACAACGTCTCCTAGCCGAAATGGGATTGTAGCTCTGTAAAAATTGCACAGGCATGCTGCATTGGGAGATGCGCCAGGCGGGGTAGCAGTGGGGTTTGTCAGAGAGCTTGTAATTTTACTGGCAGTAGAAATTGGGCAGCTGCAGTGCGCCACGCGCCGCGGCTGTGGACTTCTCTCATAGTGAATTCCGAATCTCAATTTTTATCGTCAAGACTTGGTCCTCGACCCCCAAACGTGATCTGGGCTTAATCCCTTGGGCTTGTACTCAAACTTCAAAGCTCCAAATAGCTCGAATTGGCTCCATAACTTCTACATCACTCGGAATCACTCCTACAAGGCATAAAACATGCATTGAGTACAAAATATTAGTGATTAAAGCTCAAACATAATAAAAGTGCAGTAAATTGGAGTGCAATAAGCGACTAAAATACATAATTATAGCCTACCATCAACACCCCACACTTAAACCAATACTCGTCCTCGAGCAATCAAATTGGACTTCATATAAACACGAGCTTTTTAAACAACTCTCCTAACTTATTACACCGAGAATATTTAAAATAGATTAAGCAGAATAGTGTAACATCTTCACCTCAAGATTTGACTCACAAGCACCACGCATTATTCACAACCTGCTCACTTACTCTAACATATAGTTCAACGACATAACCTTTCCTTCATGAATCAAGTGCCCTCATACAACAATAGAGAGTAGTTCCACACACAATAAAATTCATGAACAATTAGGAACTTCAAATAGAAAGAATTCGCTCACTCTTAGAAACAACATTCAAATGCCACAAAAGATGAACCATAGGCTTGCCCGTAGTGTACTACTCTACGACTTGAGTTCATTTAGTCAAGGATCAAGTGGGACTTTAATTGGTTGTAATGTAATTTGTGGGATCGGTAGGATACATTAAGATATAAGAGAGACTACACCTTCCCAAGCAATTTATTACATACACTTTAATATTCAAAGCCCCATACTTATGTCAACCCGTACCTCCACCTTCAGATCAATATACAATACTCCCTACTTCTTTAAGCACAATTCATCAAAAGTTACCACTATCAAAGAATATTTTTCACAACAATACAATATTTCACTAGTTCCACTCAAAATCCAACCCCCCCCCCCCTCCACTTCATCTTCTACAAAGTTTATACAATTTCAAGTGCTCATTAGAGGTGAAAAGGTTCAAATAGATAGTCAATTCGAACAAATGGGTAATGCTTGTAATGTGATTGCCAAAGAAGCAGGATTACAGACTCAAAGGGGTTAACTAAGATACATAACAATTAGGCGGGTAACAGAATATAACTGGCTCAACAAAGAAATGCCTATATCACTTCCAAGACTGAATAAAACTACTATTTTTCTTTGCAAACACGCGGAGCAAGTTCTAGACATTGAATGCAATGCATAGAATAACACAAAAACGTCACACACATGGCACATAACTCGCTTTGGATTGGACTCATCAAGACACTCTAGTCATAGCAGTTAAGCAAAGTTAAGATCATACAATTTAAGGTACTTATACATGAGTAAAAAATTGAGCCTAAGCGTCACAACTAAAGCACTCACCATTCTCAAGGCATAATAAAGTCAAGAGATATTGCTTCAATTCAAATCATATCACAAGGGTTCCTACTCCTAACAAAAATAAAAATTAGCTACACTCAGTTCAAACAAAACCCTTGGAAAAGAATTGCGGCACAAAAAACAGCAAGGGGGAACTAATACACTACCTAACAAAAGAAAAAAAATTTATCTTTTTCCTTCGACTTTAATCCATCAAGAAACCTATCGATGATATCCATCGTCGGGAAAAAACGATAATTTTAAAAATTATATGTTTTTTTCAATTTTTTTCTCTCTCTAACTACTAAAAGGCAAAACAAAAACTATTATACATACATACATACAACATATCCCCCACCCCACACTTTAAGTTGTGGCATGTCCCCATGACACACAGTTAAAAAGCATAAGGTAAAGGAAACTTCCCTGAATATCTAGTTGCGGTCTGAGTCAAAGTCAGGCTCCATTCTTCGCCCACGAACTAGTGCACACATCTATGCAGATAGCTTCTTCTCAGCCTTCTTGAGGTACACCTCACGCTTATCTTTCTCACTCAATGCAGCCTTTTCTTTCTCTCCCTTCACTTTCCACTCAACACTTGCAGCTGGTTTCTCCTTTTTCACCCCCGTTTCTACATTTATCTCAAAAGTCAAAGTCTCCTCGCCCACTCTAAGCATGATTGTTCTATCGTGTATGTCTAATATCGCTCTACCCATTGCTAAGAATGGTCTTCGTAGGATGAGGGGTGTCTCCTTATTCTCCTCCATCTTCACCACTATAAAGTCTACAGGAAATACAAACGTATCCACCCGAACTAAGACATCTTCCACTATCCCCTCGGGTATTATAGTTGTTTGATCTGGCAGCTGCAATGATATTGGTGCAGACCTTATCTCTCCAAGCTCATTCTCTAGTTTACTTTAAATAGACAACGACGTTATATTAACTGAGGCACCAGAATCACATAAAGATTTATCAAAGTTAAGAATGCCTAAAAAGCAAGGTTTTGTAAAACTCCCTATATCTCCACACTTTTGTGGGAGTTTTCTTTGAAAAGTTGCACTGCAATTCTCTATGATCTTGACAACTGAGGTCTCCTCTATCTTTCTATTCTTTGTAAGGATCTCCTTCAAGAATTTTGCACAAGCTGGCATTCGTGAAAGTACTTCTGTGAATGGTAAGTTTATATTAACCTGTCTCGGCATATCTAGAAATCTCTCAAATTGCTTGTCCAGATTTTCTCTATATAGCTTTTGTGGGAAAGATAGAGCAGGCATATGGTCGCTCATATCATGTTCCTCCCTTCTCAAAGCTTCCTCCTTCTTCTTTTTCTCTACTCCCTTCTTGTCTTTCTTCTTCTCATCAACTTCAATTTTTAGTTGCTCCCCACTTTCTTTTTCAGGTACAACCTCTTTTTGGATCAGAGTGGGTTCTTTCAACACTTTCCCGCTTCTCAAGGTCACAACATTCACCATTTCTTTGGGATTCTTCTCAGTATCAGTAGGCAAAGTACCTGGAATTCTCTCAGACAATATAGTTGCAATTTGTCCCACTTGTCTCTCCAAGTTTCGCAAACATGTGCCATGTTTTTTGATAGCTGCACCATGAGCATGTAGCCTCTCATCCGTCTTGACAATGAAGGACTTCATCATATCTTCTAGCCAGGCTGATTGGATTGTTGAGGTTGAATTTGTTGTCTATGCTGATTTTTGAAAGCTGGAACTCCTTGTCCCTAAAATTTGGGGTTGTTTTGTTGCCATGCATTTACAGTACCCCCAGGTGACCTCCATGAAAACCTGGGGTGCTTCTAATCATTGCATTAAAGTTATAATTACCCAAAGCATTCACTTCCTCCATTAAAGCTTGACACTCATGAGTAGGGTGTCCTCTTCCACATATATCACAAGCTGCGTGAGGCTCATTGTGTATTGAGGCTAAGGTCAGCATCCTTATTTCTTTGGCCATGGCATCAAGTGGTACCTGCACAGATGTGTTAGCATCAACTTGGTGAACACCAGTTGATCTTCTTCTTTTAGAAATTTCAGAGGGCCACTGATTTTCATCTTCAGATAACTCATCTAGAATCGTGGCTATCTCCTCTAGAGTCTTTTTCATCAACGGGCCTCCAGCTGCATTGCTCAATGTTCTACATGAGGCAGGTGTAAATACATCCCAAAAGTCCTGGAGTTGCATCTGGAGTTCAATTCCACTATGTTGACACTTTCGCACTATCTCCTTAAACCTCTCCCTTGCTTCAACCACGATTTCAGTCTCGTTCTGGTAGAAGTTATGAATTTACCTTCTAAACTTGCCCGTCTTAGCTGATGAGAAATATTTATCAAGAAATTTTCTGGTCATCTCATCCCATGTCTAATTTAACCATTAGGAAAGCTTCGAAGCCAGTGTTTTGCATCATCTTTGAGTGTGAAGGGGAATGCCCTCAAGTAATGCATCTTGTGACACACCATTGTAGTGAAAGGTGTTCATGATCTCCTCGAAGTCCATTAGATGGTTGTTTGGATCTTCGTTTGTCTTTCCTCTGAAGACGCTGCAATTTCAAAGGGTTTGAAGCAACCCTTACTTCAAATCGAAGTTGTTAGATGCAACTGGAGGTGGTCTCACACTTGATAATCTTTAGTTGTAGGCCGGTCTAGCATAATCACCAAGTGGTCTCCCAGCACTGGGAGCTATGTTTCCGAACCGGTCTGGAACCAAAGGCTGATTTTGAGCAATTCTCTAAGCCCTCTCCTTTTCATAGACAACTTGTGTATCTCTAAGAGTTGCATGCTCAGCATCCTGTGCAACTTTTTCTCTTTGTTGGGTTGCCTCCCTCGCAGCCAAGTCAACATTGTCATCATCTCCAGCAATATTTTCTTCTATTGAGGATTGTCGAACCTTCTCTATATTCGTAGGGAGATTTCTTTCCTTCCTCCGCTGTCGCAGTTGGTTTTCTATCTCTGGTTCGTATGGCAGCAATTCTTTACCAGAAGATCGAGTCATGCACCAATCAAAATTTGTAGCCTGCGCACAGTGAAAGAACACCAACTGTAAAAAGAGAAAATAAAATAAAAGAAAAATTTCTGAATTAGCACTATAGACTATTTTAAACACTATCGATTGCCAATCCCCGGCAACAGTGCCAAAATTTAAAGTGTGAAAAACACACACTGAAATATACTCGCTAGTCGAATATAGTAAAATATAAAATCGTATCCACATGGATTGGAGTTAAACAGTATTTTCGTTGTTTCTAGCTAGATTGTTATCCAAGATGATCAACAATTGATATTTATGTGATTTAAAACCAAAATTCTCTAAGAGTCTAAACTATTGACGAATGACAGTCGACGCAAGATAATTGTTTGGAATCTAACTCTAGATAATTCACTTCTAATGTTAAAGTGAGTCTCTCGAATTCACTCAATTATTAGTTCAAGCATTTAGTAGAAACTTCTCTTTCGATTAAGTCTCAACTTCACAAGATGAACCAATTTAAACTCGGTGAAAATATGCAAGAATTTGTAGTGGATTGGAATTTAGGAGAACCACTCTCGATTATCCTCCTAATCGGGTTTAATCAATAATTCAACAAGCTTGAGCATGCCCAGCCTACTGTGTTTTTTTGTGTGTTTGAATGTTTATACTTGCCACCCATCCTGAATTCATCTCTCTGCCTTGTTTAGTATCTTTGTAATAAATTAATTCATATGTTTTAGACCTTGTCGATTAATTCCTGTCCAACCAGCTAAGTTCCTGAGGTTGTATTGATTAACTAAGGCCTGTTTCCATGCCATTGGAGTTCTAGTGTATGTCCTTGACTTGTGCATTCCTGTGTTATTCAGTATTATTTGAGATATTAAGATAAATCTCATAACTAGCCTCTCCTCCTATATGTGACCAACTAGTACCAAGTTTAATACTTGCTTCTGGAAACTAACATGCCTCTTATATTGTTACTGATTTTCAGCATGCTAGGGTTAAGTAATTGCTTGATCGTGAACTTGTTCTGTTATGCTGTCCCTTTCAATAGGTTTTTCTTGATACACACTTTCATGTGAAGGTTTTGCTTTGCTTGTTTCTTGTCTGTGATCTAAGGTTCTATAGGTTGATTCTGAATCATGCTTCATTTTGAAACTCTTTGGAATGGCTTACTATCCTATGATGGTCAATCCTAGCACTCTTAAACGTTCTTTCTGGAGTTACAAGCATAAACTTGCCTCATATGTGTCTTGTGTGCCCTTTCAATTTAGGCTGACCCTGTCTATATGTCTTGGCTAGATCTATTGTTAGCCATAGCTTTAAGAATTAAGTGTTTATGTTGTTTAGTTAAGTTCTATAAGTAATTTATCATCTGTATGGCTAAATTTGGCATCCATTTGGGTAAGCAAGATATTCGTTTGGGCCTGCAGTCCATATAAAGTCTTAAGCATGTTTGAAGGCCTAGATGTATTACAGGGTTATTCTGTACTCATATTTGGATTTGTAATCATTCAATTTGGTCTATAATAACTTTGTAATAACGAATGATGAGGAAATTAATAAAAAGGGAACTGGGGTATTCTAATACTTGCATGAAAGGGTAGAATACATGCTTATAGGGTCTATGTGTTATATTTGCTATTACGTCCAGCATGCCTTATTTGTTATTTTGTTTAGTGTGCGTCGCACACTAATAGGAATCACGCACACACTTCACTCCACTGGTCAAATTTGTTGCTACTCTTGTTTCCGTGTCTACTACTCAATGCTTTTAGATAGCATGCCTATAGGATATGATAATACATGCCTTCACTAATATAGATATCATGACTATAATGTTTTAATAATTGATCAGCTGATTTCTGTTACTTTTATACTGCCTCACTTAGATGACAAGCCTATAGGATAAAGTATTATAAAATCAAGTCTAATTGTCAATTGTTATAAATGCTGCCTATAGGATATTATCATTTGCATAAGAAATTGTTTATCGATGTTGCTAATCCTGTGTTTTCAAGCGACTTTACTGCCTTATTATGCAACTATTAGAAACCTGCCTATAGGACATTGTTACCTGCCTAAGAAGCGTGTCCATAAAATCAGCACTGGTAATTGGTAGTTCTGGGATCGTTTCACTACCTTAGTATACAAACGATTAGAAATCATGCCTATAGGACTTGTAACGTTTTAATGTGCCTATACGTTAGTCTAGAAGCTGTAGTACTGCCTGTATCCTACTAGAGATTGAAATCATCATAGAAATCATGCTAATAGGACCTAATGATTCTAATGCATCTAAAAAATTGTCTATTGTATAACCCGAAATATGTTTGCGTGCCTTTGTTGTTATGTGTGGAGGCTAACATGACCCAAATTATTGCTATTATGTGCAGTCCTATTTGTTTTGAATGCGCGATTAGTTTTACCATTTTGAGCAACCTAAGTAAAGTCTAGAACCACTTAATAGTAGGTCCAACGCCTCCTGGACCATAGGCTGGGACGGGTAATGCACGCATAGGTACAGTTTAGAATTGAATTAGAGCGCCTTTAAGTAACAACTTTAATATAGTAATTGGGTAGCAGGAGATGATAGTCTGGGTCCGCTGAATAATATTAGAAACCCCTACCTCAAGGGAGTTGCAAAGTATTATTTATGTTGTACGGGGTGATTCTTTAGGCAAAAAATCTTAGGACCCCCCTTTCTTTATATGCTTGTTGTTTGTATTTATTCACTAGTTATAGTTCAATGCAATTGTACTCCTTGTGATTTTAAAAGACTTGTATCAATTAATCATATAGTTAATTCTTATGCTATCATAAAGCTTTCAACTTCTACATCTTTCTTCGCTTATTTGATCACCTACTTTAATTAGCTAATCCACATAGTTTAAACATCGGTCGAGAACTACAGTTATGGACCTCAAAAAGTGCCTAACACCTTCTCTTTGAGGTAATTTGAGCCCTTACTCGATCTTTGGTGGCATTGACTAGTCAAACAGATTTATTTGCAAATAGGTGCCCTAACGCACCTCAAAATCGCTAGGTGGCGACTCTTCTCTTTAATACTCATTTAAAAGAGCTGTCACGCACGTCAAAACCCGCTTTTGCGAGAAAACGGGGCACGACAACATGGCAACTCTGTTGGGGATTTACACTTAGGCTCTTACCATAACGAAACTGACTTATGTGGATTATTTCTCTTATTTTTTTTATATTTATTTAAATTGCTATGACACGCACATCCCTTTCCTTATTTTCCTTTATTTGTCTAAATTGCTATGACATGCACATGCTTTCCCTTATTTTCCTTTATTTGTTTAAATTGCTATGACATGCACATCTCTTTCCTTAACAACAAACAACAACAAACCCAGTTTGATCCCAATAGGTGGGGTCTGGGGAGGTAAGTGTGTACGCAGACCTTACCCCTACCTAATGCAGGTAGAGAGGTTGTTTCCAATATGCGCATCCCTTATTCTCCTTGTAACGACCCGACCGGTCGTTTTGAGCTTTTGCACTTTGATCACCAGTTCTCGGGCATGACGTGCCCCGTGTGATGTATTATGACTTATGTAAATCGTCGGTTTTGGTTTTCAGGGTAATCGGAATGAATTTGGAAGAACAGTTCTCAGTTTATAGCTTGCAATTTGAAAGGTTTGACCAAGATTTGACT